GATTTTAGAACAATATTTGAAATGTTATTTTTTTTTAAATAATTAAACCGGGGACGGGTATTTAACCGGGGACGGGGACGGGGCGGGTAAGTATATACCCGTCCCCGATTTCTTTTATCGGGTTTTACCCGTACCCGGTCAAAGCGGGTATTCCCCGTCAAAGTCAGGATGGGTTCGGGTATTACCCACGGGTACGGTTTTATTTGCCATTCCTAAGCTGAAGTCTCGGTACAACGTTGCCGAGATCGAGGTTCCTGAGCCTCAAGAGGATGAGATCCCCCTTGGAGACTCGTAGGAAAAGAAAGAGGGGGGAGAAGGAGGTCGAGGGGACCTCCACCCCTAGTGATGCTGAAGAGGTGACGTCGAAGGCTGCTGACGCCAACGTAGTCGACCTCACCGAGAGTCCTCAGCCTGAGGGAGCTTCCTAAGTGGCCGCTGAGGAGGTTGCCCATGCCACCAAGGTTTGTGCCTTTCTTTGTGATTTCACTTTTATACTGCCTTTTTCTTATTTTCTGACTTAGGAGAAAATTTTTGTCTTTTGTAGGCGGGGCCTGAGCCAAATGCTACTGAGGTCCAGGCGGCCCCAAGCTCGGAGGCGCCAGGGCTAAACGCTACCGTTGCTGTGCAGACGGGGCCTGAGCCAAATGTTGCCGAGGTCCGGGTGGCCCTGAGCTCGGAGGCGCAGGGCTGAAAACCACCGCTGCTGCACAGGCAGCCTTTGCCCCGACTCCCACCACGGTCCACAGAGAGGGGCTGAGCTCCGAGGTCCCAACGCCTACCCCTGCAGCCTCGGTGCCGCCGTCTCGTCCGTCGAAGGGGGTCCCCAAGGGTAAGTACCTTGCTCAACGCTTCGAGAAGGATCTCCCCTTGACGCGGTTGGATCATGTGAGTGCCTCGTCGAATATAGACTCTTTGTGGAGTTCGGGGGTGACCGTTGAGACCTTCTACCCAAAGGGTTCGACACGCTCAGCCGATCAGGCAATGATCGAGAAGGTCGGGCCAGTGGAGGGCCTTGACTCGGCGAAGGTTTTCTTGCAGAGGACGATGGCTATTGTGGACCACTGGAAGCATAGGTGGTCCAAGCAGCAAGGGGACCTTGAGAAGATGAAGGGTCGAGTCCAGCCTCTAGAGGAGGAGAATCGGGCGTTGGGGGCCGCCTTGGGCGAGGCTAAGAGGTAGAACGAGGCTGAGCTTCAAGCCACTAGGAGAGATCTGGCGAGGGTCTAGAAATCTTTAGAGATCGCCTTGAAGGCTAATGAAGTCTACGCCACTCAGGTTGGCGAGCCTTAGGAGCTCTCCACCTCCTCTCGGAATCGAGTGCACTCTCTTGAAGACGAGGTCTCGTCGTTGAGGGTCGAGCTGGGGGAAGCTACTGAGAGGCATCTCTGTGACGAGGTGCTTCTCAGTGGCAAGGAGGAGGAGGCCACCGCTCTGAGGGTGGACCTTGACAAAATGGTCGCGGCAAAGGCGAAGCTGGAGAGGCGGCTTGTCGAGACAGAGCGACATATCTTGGTGGAGCACAAGAAAGGCTTCATCAAGGCAGCTCGTTGGGCGAGGATACTTGCTCCTGGGGTCGACCTCTCGGCTATGCATGTGGAGAAGGAGGTGCGCTTTGGGTGGCTGGTAAAGGAAGACGACCTCCCGGACAGCTCGAGTGATAATGCCTCTATCTAAGTCGTTGGGCTTTGTAATAGCTTAGTTTATTCTGCTTGTTTCTTTTTTCCTTTTGGATTCATGTTTTGAACTCATGGGTTAGTTGTGTATATAATATTTTGCGGAGTTTGTATCTTGCGCTTTTGATGGTTCGTCTTTGACCTTTGTTTTTGCACTTATGTTTTTGTGCTTTTTGGGGCTCAAACTTGGCTTAACGCGAAATAATTCGTACTATGGTTCGAACTCGACCTAGGCTTGAGATAGGATAAATCGCATCAAGGTTTGAACTTGACCTTGGCTTAAGATAAGGTAATTCGTACCAAGGTTCGAATTTGACCTTGGATTAAGAGAAGGTAATTCGTATCGAGGTTCGAATTCGACCTTGAATTAAGATAAGGTAATTCATACCAAGGTTTGAATTCGACCTTGGATTAAGATAAGGTAATTCGTACCAAGGTTTGAATTCGACCTTGGATTAAGATAAGGTAATTCATACCAAGGTTCGGATTCGACCTTGGATTAAATTTTGGCCTCAAGGTTCGAACTCGACCTCAGCATAAGGTAATTTGTACCGAGGTTTGAATTCGACCTCAGCCTAAGGTAATTTGTACCGAGGTTCGAATTCGACCTCGGCCTAAGATAGAATAATTCGTACCAAGGTTTGAATTCGTCCTCGGCTTAAGATAAGATAAATCGTACCAGGGTTCGAACTCGACCTCGGATCAATATAAAGCATTTTATGGTAAAACGATGTAAAATTCAGAACTATGAACAGAAACAGAATGAGTCATTTTATTAATGTTGTGGGTGTGCCTCGTTAAAAACCCTCTCAGCGAAAACCCATTTTTCTATTTTTTGGGACAAAAGACTGAGGCGGGAAAAGAGTGCACAGCTCACTCGTACAATTTCAACTGAAGTAGAACTTAAGATGCGTGGCATTCCAAGTTCTTGGGATGGCTTTGCCGCTGAGCTCTTCTAGATGGTACGCCCCATTTTCTAAGTTTTCTGTGACCCGGAATGGGCCATCTCAGTTAGGTGCGAGCTTCCCTTCTAACGAATCTCTGCGGGCGTCTCCTAGTAATTGCCAGACCAAGTTGCCAGTCCTGAAGGAGTGAGGTCGGACTCGTGTGTTGTACCTCCTGGAGGCACGAAGCTTGCAAGCCTCTTCATGAATCCGAGCTTCTTCCCTGAGCTCGTCAATGAGGTCGAGGTTAACTGTTGTCTCCTGGGCGTTTTGGTCACTATCGAAGACATGACGTCGATGAGACGTCTCGCCGACTTCCACCGGGATCATGGCATCAGCTCCATAGGTTAGCCTGTACGGCGTTTCCTGTGTTGTCGACTGGGGGGAACAATGGTACGCCCAGAGGATGCTGGGAAGCTCGTTGGCCCATTGTCCTTTGACGCTTCCTAGCCGTTTCTTGAGCTCTCGGAGTATCAACTTGTTTGCAGCTTCAGCTTGGCCGTTGGTCTGTGGATGTTCCACCGAGGTCGGGAGGTGTTTGATTCTGAGTTCCTAGAGGAAATTCTCAAAACTTTGCGATGAATTGCCTGCCGTTATCGGGGAATGAGGGATGCCAAACCTGCATATGATGCTCTTCCAGGTGAACTTCTGTACGTTCTCGGTGGTAATCTTGGCAAGTGGGCATGCCTCGATCCATTTGGTGAAGTAGTCGATTTCCACTAAGAGGAATTTGAGTTGACCCTTCGCGAGGGGAAATGGTTCGAGGATGTCCATTCCCCACTGGGCGAAAGGCCACGACGACATCATTTGGTGGAGAGCTTCGGGCGGTTGCCGATGTGTATTGCTGAACTGCTGGCATTCCTTGCATCTTTGTACGTAAGCTTGACAGTCCAACTTCAATGTGGGCCAGTAATATCCAGCTCGGAGTACTCTGGTCGCCATAGAGCGTGCACCGGAGTGCATACCACATATCCCTCGATGGATTTTCTCGATGACATAAGCAGTCTGAGGCTCTGTCAAGCATTTGAGCAATGAGGTGGAGATGTCGCGTTTGAACAGTTCATCTCTGACAATGACGAACTTAGCTGACCTTACCCTCATCTTCTGAGCTTCATCTTTATCCTCGGGCAGAGTTCCCTCCTTTAAGTAGTTCCAAATACCTGTCATCCATCCGTGGTCTTCGCTATTACTGGTGTTGACGACCTTGTCGTCTAAGCTAGGTGAATGTAGGGTCTCCTGGATAATGGTTCGATGTTGCCTAGGGCGTTTGGTACTGGTGAGCTTCGATAGGAGGTCGGCTTTGGCATTTTGCTCTCGTGGTACATGATGTATGGTGAACTCGTCGAAGGACGAGATCTTCTGTGATGCCACATGGAAGTACCTTTACAGAAGGGTGTCCTTGGTCTGGTATGCCCCGCTGAGCTGCTCTATCATGAGCTTTGAGTCGCTGTTGCAACTCACTCTCCGCGCTCCGAGGTCATGAGCCAACCTTAGCCCTGCGAGAAGCGCTTCGTATTCCGCTTGGTTGTTTGTCACTTTGAAGCCAAACTTGAGAGATTGCTCCAAGGTGACCTGATTCGGCCCTTCCAAAATAATACCTGCACCACCACCCTTAGAGTTGGAGGATCCGTCAACATATAAAATCCATACCTGTTTGTCTCATATATCTTTCCATATTTATGTAGGTATCTATTAAACGAGTCGGCGTATTCCATTAAGCGGGTATCCACGTATTTTGTTAATATCCGTGAGTAGATATTTTATTTTAAAAATAAATTTTCAAAAATATTAAACTAATAATTTATATTTATTCTAATAATTTGTTTAAAAATAATTATTCAAAATTTAAAAATTAAATTATTCAAATATTATACATAATTTTATTAGTCAAGCCTTTTCAATTTAAAAACTAAAATAATATTGTTAAAATACTTTATTCACATAAATTTAAACAAATTTAATTTATAATTATGCAATTAAATATTAATGGATACGGATATTATAATACTTATACCTACCCATTTATATGCCTATATAAACAATACTTGTACTTATTACCTACACATATCTATTTATAATATTTATTTTTTATGTGTAACGTATTTTATTTACGGATATTAGTGAGTATAATTAATTTTTTTTTACATCCTTGCATTAAGACTCTTTTGATAGCGCTCAAGTACGCTCATATATCATGTAATTGGAAGAGAATTGAAAGAAATTAAGATAGATATAAAATGAATCATATAATAAAAAATAAAAAGTAATATTCGAAAAGTTGTTATGTAAAAATAAGAAATTAATTGTGTATACTTTAAAGTGGAAGTAAGAGAAAGATAAGAGAGAGGGAAAATGAAAAATGTGATTAAAAGGAAAAGAAATGTAAATATAAAATGAGGGGAAGAAAGAAAAAAAGTATATATCTACAAAAATTAACAAGTATAAATAATGCCTGTGATATAGTATAGCTGAATTAAGTGACACACAAGGTTTATAATTATGTCCACATCACACTCATAAATTAATACCAGCGTAACAGTTTTCAAACTTGTGTGTTATTGAGTCAAGTTGTTGCTGAATTTGGCATCCGAAATGCATTCTTGAGTCCACTCATGAACCTCTGCCCAAAAGTTGCACTCATCTTGGGAACATCAACAGAGAAAGAAGACCTCCTCATTCCCCCATCAAACGAAGCCGACCACCTTTCCCCCTTCTTCACTCCACCACCTTTCTCAACCGCCACAAAGTGGAAACTCTCCGAACGCAACGCCTCCTTCTCCTCACATTCTCGCAACACTCTCTTCATGCACCTAACCTCTTCTTCCACCCTTCCTATGCGACCATTCGTGCAATCCATCGTTGTCCTCAGCTTCGCCCTTTCGCTCAGAGCCGCGTCTCGGTGGAGAAATTCCCCTAGCGTCATCGAACGACGTCGTCGTTGCCGGCGTTCTCGTTGAGCACTCGCCAATGCCATGGAATGGCGAGTGTTGAGATGTTCCACCACCACCGCTCGCACCACCAATCTCAACGCCATTCTAGGGTTTTGAACGCACTCTATCAGCGTCTCACTCGAGAGCTTGGAACATTCTATCGAGTTGCATATTCCACTTCTCTCTTCCTCCTTCACTTTCTCAATCTTCTTTTCCTTCATAAACATACACAATCACATCATTCACACCAACTATATATATTTAACCAAAAAATAATTAATTTTTTATTCAATAAGATGGTGACACGTGTCATGTTATGTACCTTGAGATACATATCAACTATCTTATAGAGCACGTCGTGGTCCTCCCACCTTCTACCCATCGATTCAGCCACGGTTTGAAAATCTCGTGGCTGCATTTCCATCACGTCGTTTAAACTTCTAACGCCGTCAACGTAGACTAACGCTTCGATGCATCTGCTAACGAGAGACGCCGTCGTTTCGGCCTCGGGAAGCAGAGCCAGGCACGAACGGAGAACCGTCGACGCGCACTCTTTGTTCGTGCCAACGACTTCGCGGAAGCGCGTTTCCGCCACGTGGCTTAGGCCGTCTTCCGCCGTCATTCCCAGCAACTCCGCCGCGGTTCTTATGGCGGCGACGTTTCCCGGCGTCATTTGGACTTTACCGTTGTAACAGAATTCCGCTACGGCGGCGAAGGCCTCCGGCGTTATGTTTAACGGTGGAGAGAGAGTGAGGTGTGAGGTTTCCGTTAGGTGGCGTTTTAGATATGAGCTTTGTGATGCCACACGGTCCTGATGAGAATAAAGTGAAAATTCGATAATTTCATAAACAGCGAAAAAAAGTGCAGCACTTATTTCTATGTAATTGTTCAATAATTGAATTAAAGGAATGTCCCTACGTGTTAGGTTTTCAAAGAAGCGCTTTCTAAAGCAATCACTGATCTTAAAGGACCATGAAAGACAAAACAGAGCGTCACTGAAGCTTCCCACAACATACATGAAATGTGATTTTTTTAGTATTATTCTTTATTTTTTATTATATAACATTTTACATAAAAAAAAATACTGATACAATATCTCTCGTGCTATTTGGTAAAATCATGCATCTTTTGTTTCTATATATTCTACTACTATTATTCTTTTTACAATGTTCATGGGGATGAGATCAACACCAATACTTAGCAGCATTTTCAATTGAAGCTTGGTTGAGAATTATATAAATATGTTGCGAACACTAGCTGATTGGTATTCTCATTTTAGGTATAGGAGGGTGACAATTTATGTTATACTTTATACTTAAGTGTTTTTAATGAGATAAGAACTGTTCAACCGTAAGTTGTTGATACATTCATGTGTTGAATTGACTATTAATGTATGCATGTTAACAACGTATTTACTCTGTTCCTAGGTTATTCTCCCTTTATATTTACGGGAAACTTACTTGCAATCCGGTGCTTAATCATGCAAAACCTCGAAACAAAACATATTTTCCTCTGCTGTCACTGCCTATAATCTTGGTTGAGTTTCAATTAACTTTTAACTTCTAACCACCAGTAATCCCATGTTGGAAAATTGCAAATTCAGCCAAACATTTTGCAAGATTAATTACTAAACTTTGTAATAAGATTATTGTTAATTTGTTATTATCTCACAATCACCCGTATGAAGTTGGTAAAGAAATTGTAATGATCCAAAACAAACACTAAAACAAAAAAGCAATGGAAGAAATTAGAGAAATACTAGAGTTGAACAAGGGCAGAGTAGAAGAACATATGAAAGAGAAGATGATAATAGTGAATGGACACACCTTGTGCAGGCGGAAACATATTCCTTGAACACGTATCAAGATATCTGTCTCACGACCAATTCTAAGAGACCTAATTGATTTTTTTTAATATATATAATTGAGTGAATACATAATATATAATTGGAAACAAAGCTGGAATGATGTTTAGAATACGAATGGCAGAAAAAATAAAAAACGGTATGTGAATAATGGAGAGAAGGAATTATTACCAAGCCTTGACTCTGGAATGGAGAGATGGTGGAGAAGAGGAAAATGATGGTGAAGGGGAAGAAGAGGTAGAGGAAAACTCGCATTCTTCTTCGTAGATGGTCTCAACTGCTCCTAATTGATTCCAAGCACTCATCTCTTTCTCTCCCTCTTCTCTTTCTTTGAATTGAATCGCACTGTGCACAGGACAGGACACAGTTTTTAAGAGTTTTTTCAATGCTTTTATTACTACTCCTGTTCGTCATAATTAGGATTTTTTTATATTAATGATAAACATGTTATTAGGAGATTAAGGAAAAGAGTTTCATTATAAATTATGATAAATATATCAATATCATTTTTATAAAACCCTTTTTTTTATTTTTAATAAACGTTATTACTTATAATTTTTGAATCAGTCTTTACTGCTTTTAATTATAATAAAAAATTATGGTGAATGTATTAATAATATTTTTAATAAAAAAAAATTTATATGTTGAAACTAAGAAATATAATACTACGACAATATTCACTTTTTTTCACCTAAAAAAATTACAATATTCACTTTTAATCATATTTTTAATTGATTTACTTTTCTAAAGTAAGAGAATATTCTTTAGGAGATAAAGTGCACTTATAATTATTGATTATAATATTAATGATTAAAATTTGTGATAAAGTTAAAAATTAAATTTGTGTAAAATCTAAAAATTAATTATAATATCAATAAATGATTTTTTAGTTAATGATTATTATTATTGCATTTTATTTTTTAAAGCACAGTATAAGTTTCTCACTTCAGATGAGCTGGATTCATTTTTAATATATTTTTAATTTTAATTAATTAATCAACATTCACTTTTACTAGCATCTAACTTCTTAGGTTTTGGGTGTAGTGATAAATTCCCGCTGGAAGGTCATAAATATTGTTTGGGGGTAGGAAGGCAATTTAATGGCACATGTGACCACTCATAAATGCTCACATTAATTTCTCCATTCTCTATTTTATGTTGTTTACGTGAAAATTGAAAAATACCATCCAACTTCCTAGGATACCCAAATTTTCTAGCGGTATGTCACTTGCAACTAAAGAATTTATTATGCTATTAATCACTCTTTTCTCTTTCACAGAATATAGTCTTGGAGGTCTAGTTACTCGAGTAGACTCCTGTTGGGTTTGAGGTGTTTTTATAAGTTCAATTAAAAACACACTACTTAGTTTAGTTGGTTCGACTTTTCCACTTTAAGGTAAATAACCTGAATCAATCAATGGTTTGTTTTTCATTCTGCAGTGAATTATGTCGAAAAATTATGATGACCTTAAAACTCTAATGAGATGTGGTAGAAAAAATATGGTTTCATTGTTCTTTTTTTTTTAATATTTTTTTTTATCCAAACATATATAATAATTTTTTATCAAATTGACGATGTGTATCGAGTCATATGATTTGGTAGGATTAAAGTAGCGTCCAAAAGATAATAAGTTTGAACTTTATTGTCATTTTCTAAAAATATTTCCATCCTATTAAAAAAAAGTCGTTGACAAAATTAGCTTGACACCCTATTTAATGTATCGAGCAATCACATTGCTTGCAAAACATGTTATGCTACGTTGACATATATTTTATATCAGTATAATTAACATATATTTAAAGATTTTTTTTTAGATTATAGCAAACAACAAAGTATTATATATATATATATATATATATCAATAAATCCGTAAAAGTTGTGTCATAAAGTTACGCTACAAACTTATAAAAAGCTACAAGTTTTTGTACACCACAAAAAACAAATGACACACTCGTAGCTTAGTGTATAGAAACATACTCTGCATATATACAGGAAGATATATACCAGTTCATTCTATAATTACTATAGGCAACATACATTATGTGCATCAGCCTATATATATGTACCAACTGCTTAAGCTAAAAAACCCACATACCCTCTCATCTACCTCACGTGTGCTTCATAAAAACAATAAAGCAACTGATCTGTAGTACCTTTTTGTTATGTAGTAGACACAACTGTCATTCATCTTTGGTGCAACTATCCATTTAATTCATGCCTTGGTGTATTTTTCTTCCCTTTTCTTAATTAGCTTCCCTCCCATCCCACAATCAGATCTCTTAGGTTATGTTTGGATATGGATTTGAAATTTATAACCTCAGTTAGTTGATCTCGAATGTAGTGTTTATATGTTTAACAAAAAAAAAAATCTTTTTCGTTTAGTGTAAATTACAAGCAAATCTCAGGTAAAACAAAAACTAAAAAAGTGTTGTTGTTATTTGAAAGTTGATTTAGAAAGTTAAATTTAATTCAACTTAACTTTTTAACTATAATCTAAACACACATTTAGTCTTCTCACCAAGCATAAACCTAGACAAGCCATTGAGCAAAAGAATAGTCGAATCCAATGTCGTAGTTTTTTAGCCGGCTCCAAGACATGCATAAAATTTGTTGCAACAGAGCCTCCTTGTTGAGTTGTTTAAAGATATGTGCATATAGGCAATTCTAACAACACCATAATACTCCAAGACATCCCAATACTTATTGTTAAATAGGCAATAGTTTGGTTTGGTGGAAGGGTATGGCATCGGTTGACGGTTGATTTTGTTTTCAATGCATTAAAAGGTCTAATTGTATGGGGACTTTGTTTAGGGAAATAAGATATGATATTTATCAAAACAAATTCCTACTTATGATTTTTTTTATTATTTAATTTTACTCTTCTTATGATTTGTTGGTCTCTAAGGCTATTTACGAGTTGAGTATTCCTTGTACCTTATATCCTTTTTTACTACTGAAGTTTTATTTTTTGATAAAAAAAATTATTTTTAATTCTCCTCATGAAACCATTATGATTTGGTGTCTAATGTGCAATAACACACTTCAATAACACTATTTGGACACCCACCTAGTTGTGATTAATAAGTTTGCTGAATGTTACTTACCCTTGCACATGTCAACAATATATAAGAAACTGACTCCATATGTTTAGAACACCAAAGACACATGTTGTCATTGTTTGGCAATTGCACTCTCATGTTATCGAGATTTTGTTTAGTTAGTAATTTGACCAAAAACGCCTTCTAAAGAAAACATATATATGACCTTTTGTGGGACTCTAAGTTCTTATGTGATGATGAAAATTTCCTCTTCTTATGACCCAGATTTCATCCATGTAATTTCATATAATAAGATTATTGATGTATTATTTTATAAAGATATATTTGTCAATCGGAGCATGATCTAATTTTATTTATAAACTCTTTTTATATAGAGATAAATTGTGATATAAAAATCAAATATCAATATTATGCTATTTTAAAAATAAGGAAACAATATCATAAAATAATCAAAATAAATTAAATCTAAATATTTGAAATATAAATAAAATATTTTTATGACAATTAATTTATTCTCCTAAAGATATTTAGGCATATCTATAACATATTGAAATCATTTTTCTCACTAATATTGTGTGTCACTCCTTGTCCCTACAATAAAATTCCACCATGTTAATTAAAATAAACACGTAGAATTAAAAAATCTCTAATTTTTTTACTCCATGCACTACTTGCTTACATTTTTCTTCCCACTCTCGAAAACCACTACATAAAGGAGTGACAATGATTTGATTGAAACATTATGTGTTTAGCCATGACTTTGTGAAATAGCGACAGAAAATAACATTGAGATTCTCAAGCAAAGACATACTATAGAAGATGAATTAGAAAAAGAAGTTTCTCAATCATGCCAAATTTTTCAATTTGCATTTAAAGATGATTATGTCGTTAAAAGAAAATGAGCTTGAAATGATGTTGGTTGTAACTTTTGTATGTTAATTCCTGCATAACATCAACAAGCTTATTTTTGTTCTAAATACTATAAACCTAGTTTGCATTATTATTAATTCATAAGGATTTTCCTTGATTAATGTTCTAGCAATGATGTGGAGGGCATGACATGGACAACAACTTGTGGCAATTACGAGGATTTATGTTTTTGACGAGTGTGCGCAATAACATCATTGGCCTTCTTGAAGGAAGCGACAATGAAGAGGGGACTAAGGTTTCGACGACAGTGCGTGTCTCTTGGTAGTAGACTTGAATCGTGATGATATAAATGGGGGTTGATTTCACTTCTTCGTGGGGTGGTTTCTGAGCAAGTAGCATGTAGGGCAAAAGAATTAGAATTTTTATTTTAATCCTACATGTTTATTTTAATTGACATAGGATAATTTTATTGGAGAAATAGTAAGTGAAACACAATAAGTGATACTGTGATTTCAATTCATCCCAACATAGACGTTGTGATACAATGCCAATTATTAGAGAACCCAATTCTCACGTTAAGTTGGATAGGCCCATTAGACAAATTCAAAGGCCCAAGCACTTAAATGATTATTCTACTTAAAGGGCTTAAATGTTAATGTTTAGTTTTCCTTTTTTGTTTTGGATTTTCCTAAAGCAACCTATTAGCCGTTGCAATAGTGTTGTTGCTCCTCTATTACTTAAATTCTTGTGAGTTCCTTTCAAAATTTATCAATGAAATATGACATTATTTTTCATAAGTTCATTCACATATAATATATATCTTGTTGATAATTTTATCATAACAATTTGGTATTTTCATCATTGTTTCCATGCCTCCTAAAAACTTAACATCCTTTTCAAAGGAATCCTTTAATTTCCTTTCTTACAAATACAACAATATTCAGATACAATTGGGTAATTTCCAAACCATTCAAGATGGTTGTCATGTATCACTCACA